GTGCAATGGCGCGATCTCGGCTCACCGCAGCCTCCGCCTCCTGGGTTCAGGCAATTCTCCTGCCTCAGCCTCCTGAGTAGCTGGGATTACAGGCACGCGCCACCATGCCCATCCCTAATTTTAAAAATTACTCTTGGATGCCATAATCATGTGTTTTCATTTCATAGAACCATGTCCTTTTTTTTGGAGATCTGTGCTGAAGCATTTAGAAATTAGATGCCAGGTTTGGATATAGATACAGACAGAGAGAGAGAGAGAGACAGGGATGGATAGGGACAGAGAGAGATAAGTCAATGTGGCAAATATTAACAATTAGCAAATCTAATTGAAAAGGAGTGTTCATTGTTCTGTCGTGTTCAACTTGCCTGGGTTCCATTCCAGACCTCACCAGTGTTACTAGCTGTGTGGTATTTGGCAAGTTAATAAAACTCTTTAAGTCTTAGTTGCTTCTCTAAAAATGAAGATAAAGATAGAACCTACTCAGAAAGTCTTTGTGAAGATGAAGTGACAATGTAAAGCATTTAGTTGGGTGCCAGCCTCAGAATCAGGGCTCACTGAATGTTAGCCACGATACTAATGACATCGGTCATCAATACATGCTGAGTACCTTGTAACCCTACTTCTATCACATGTTACACTTGCTGTTTTAAAAGTACAATCCCAGATACATTTGCCACTGTATAATTGAACCATTTTATAAACTGGGTTATCTGCAAGCAGGTAAAAGCCACGTAAAATAATTCTTTGGTTTATCCTAATCTTTAAGTCATAAAGTAACTGCTAAAAGGTACACCAAAATGTTTTCTTGGAAATAATTTTCAGAACTGTTTTAGTAGTTTTTCTTTTGGAATGCATTCTGAAACAAAAATTATAAAAACCAATTGAGGTCCACTTGACCTCGTCTATTTGGCACAAAATGTAAACTAAATTATGAGCATCATTAGATACCTTGGCCGTTTCAAATCACACAGGATCTGCTGTGTGATGCTGAAGTAAACTCACTTCTGTGGGCTTCAGCTCCCTCAGTGTGGTCTCTGAAAATTCATGACACAGTAAAAAATCTTTGAAAAGTCTCTACTTTCTCAGACTGCAGTTGTATCTCACCTTCCAGATTGATTTCTTATAATACACAAGATCATCCATTAAAACATAATAATAGGAAACACCTACACAGAGCTCCCTCTGTGCCAGGCACCTAAGTGTTTGATGTATACTAACTCAGTTATTCCTCCTCACAACCTTAGGAATAAGTACCCACATCCTCCCCATTGAAACACAGGGTCTTGAGGCACAGGCAGGTGAAATAACTTGCCCAAGGTTAATCAGTGAGTAAGTAGCATGCTGTTGCGATGCCCACCTGGGCAATCTGGCACCCGTTTCTCATGCTCAGAACCATTATGTGTGTGAGCATATAAAAGACCATAGCATTTTGTTAAGATAGGCAGGAATTTATAATTTGTGTAGAGCACTCTCGTTTATGGAGAACTGGCATAAATGTCATTGTAGGTCATTGTTTCACTTTATCCAAACATCAGCCTCACAATTCCATTAAATCAGCTATTTGATATTCTTCACTAATCTTTCCTTCTGCCAGTGTCTTAACCCTGTCTACCCACACAAGGTAGCAATATCTGTGCTAATCCGTCCTAATAATTAGTACAGATATTAGTGATCTGTGCTAGTTGATTAATATCTCTGCTGTTTCTCAGAGTTAGCACAGACATTCACAGTCTGTTTTAAACTACAGCCACTTAACCTATGTTAAGCCTCACTTTCTGGTGAGTGTGTCACAGTGTATAAGGGTGGTCATTTTAGGAATCAAGTGTTCTTCCACATTGCTGAGCCTTAGGCTTATGAGTGAGGATGCTGAACGGCTCAGAGAGGATGTGCTTATTTGAGGATAGATGTGCTTTTGCGCTGGTTTTGCTGGAGGATCTGAATATTGTAAGCTCAAAGACACTGATTGGTGGACAGAACTTAAGTGCTTCAGGGCAGATGAGAATTACACAGCAGTGATCATATTAAAAGCATTGCATTTCCTGAAGAGTCTGAGATAAGGTAATTTTTTTTCATATATATATGAAATTCATATATAAAAATTGTAACCAGTGAGAGGTGGGATAAAAAGAGACTTAAATTGTAATATTTTTTTTTGAAAAATAGTGTTTCACAATTTTTTTTATTCTCTCTAATTTAAGGAAACATGTAACAGTTTTGAGTCCAGTAAGGTCAGTGAAAGACAAAAATACATTCTATAGTGAATTACAGTGGTACTTACTCTTTCTTTGGACATAGAGGATATAAATTCACTAAGACCAGCTGTTTCTCACGAGGTATATGAAAGTGAGCTTGGTAGTTACACTGGAATCCCAGAATTCCATCATTGAAAGGGATTTTAGAGATGACTCAGTCCCTGTTACCCATCTTAGAGATGAGAAAAATGAGGCACAGAAATTTGCAGAGTTGGAGCTAGAAACAAACCATGATTCTTAGTCTGTGCTCCTTCCCCAGTAGCAGGCTTCTGCAGAGTAGAAGCCTATTATCAAAACAATAAGGCTGTTGAAATCAGTGGCTTCAGCTAAGCAATAGCCAGTGACTAACGGAAATGGGGATACCAACTAGTTAAGGACAGAGGTGCTCAGTCCAAGTGAAGGCCAGGAGTCTACATACCACTTTCCTCTATTCAAGCTATTTATGCCTGCTAGGTTTAGAGTACTGATTATGAAAGTGAACCCGCAGAGTGAACCCTCAACCCTCATGGCTGAGTTTAAAGGAATCCTCTAGCCTGCTAACATCAAATTCAAAATTGTGTATGAAGATGCACATTAAAAAACTTTTTCTGGGAAGAGCATACATAACTTCCATTAGATTCTCAAGGAGGTAGGAATAAAGGAATTGAATAACTATTACTTTAAAATGAAAGAATTCCTTTAAATTGAATGGTAGATCTTATGACATGAAAGCTGATAAAAAAAAAACTTTTTAAAAGTTAAAATGTAGGGCTTTTTGGGGTAGAGTTTTTTGATTTGCAGAAGACTGTTAAGATAAGGTATTGAATGATGAAAGTTAAAAATTTTCCATGTTGGCACATGGAAAGTAAAGAATGGTAAAATTCATAGCACATTCTAATTAGTTCATGTATTTATGTTACTGAAATTGAAGTGATATCAAATTGCATAGCAACGTCCTGATAGCCTTTCTTCTAACTTTTTGGGTTTGTAAGGGTAGGATTGTGCCTATCTTGCTCACCTTTGTCTCTCGCCTCTAACATAGCGTCCAGCACAGGTAGACTGTGATGACTTTTTTTTGGGTAAATACCAATTAATTACACTTTCGACACATGATCAGGTTAACACAAGAGCAGACATTTGTGCAAACACCACGGTTCTCCCTTGAAGTGATTGTAGGTTTCAGCCAGTGCTAATTTTTCTCTTTCTTAATGTGTGTGGTTAGGAAGCCAGGTCCTGTGGCCAGAGTAAGTGGACCCACTATGTGAGGAAACTTGCTTATCACAGCCTAATAAGGAGTAGTTCTTGTGGCATAAGTCAATACTAAATGTGCTTTGGTCATTTGACAGAAATCAGGGAGGCAGCAAGGAGTCATGGAAATGAGCCCAAACTGAGAGTCAGAAGCCTGTGGTCTGCTGACACCCCTAGCCCACATCCGTACCTAAAAGCAGGCTGTGCACTAGGGACCTAGTGACCTTACTAGAAAAAACTCAAATTCTCAGAGGCACAAGTCCTCATGGGCAAAATGTGGATACCACCACCGAACCCTGCCAATTTCCTATCATTGTGACTATCAAATTAGCCCACAGGCAGGAAATTGCCTTGAAACTTTTTATAGCTTATATTACTCTTCACATAGATAAGCAATTAACTTTATATATATCCATTTTTAAAAGATCAGTCCTATGATTAAAAGTTCGACTACCCTAGTTCACTTCGTTTATACATTATGCTAAAGCCCTATAAAAGAGGCACTACTTTGGAGAGATGTCGATTACAAGCAGTAATTTTGGCTTTGAAATATATATATAATGTTCACTTGACCTCATTTATTTGACACAAAATATAAACTAAATTATGAGCATCATTAGATACCATGGCCTTTTCAAATCACACAGGGTCCTGGATCGGCTCTGTGGTGCTGGAGAAGTAAGTTCACTTCTCTGGCCCTCAGCTCCCCAATTTTTGACATACTTTGCATTCTTATATCTTTGTCAGCTGTCAACTTCAGTATTTTCAGGTTAAATTCTATCCGTAGTCATCCCAGTATACCTGCTTTAGATGATACAAACGTCAAAAGATCCGGCTCTCCCTCGTAAAACGTGGAGAACAGACACCACGGGGGTTTTGTGAGGGTAAAGAAAGGCAACCGCTCAGCAAAAACGCACCCTGGCACAACGGGGGTGAATAGATACGCTCATTGAGCGTTTGCTCCATCTTCACTTCTATTAAATGAAGACACGGATATCTAAAATGCTATGAGTCTAACTTTGTAAAGATTAAGATAGATTTGTAGTTATTTTTCAAGATAAAATAGAAAAGACACAAGTTTTGAAGGCAGTCTCTTTTGATCCACCCTGCCCCACTACTGTGTTATACACCCTTTTCTGGCCGCTCCAAAAGGGAAGCTGGTCCAAGGCCATATCACAGGTACCTCCCCTACCATCCCAGGAAACTTTGCAAAGAAGCTCAAGTATTAGGTTTCTAACACCCCTCCTTCCCCCGCCTCTGCCCGCGGGAATCCATCCAGCGCAACCTCTGGTCCGGGGCGACGCGACACCTTCTGGGTCCCCAGGGGGCACCCTCAGGCGCAGCGGGGCCAGGCCAGGCTCTGCGGCCACGTGCGCGCCGCCCCTGCCCTGCCCTGCCAGTCCCCCCGCGGCGACCCTCGCAGCGAGGTTCCCCTGCGTCCTTGCCACGTTCAAGAGAGGAAAGGCGGGCGGGAGCGCGAGACTGAAGTCGGCGTACCTGCTGTGCCAGGAGCGTCTCCTTGGTTCCCCGCGCTGGCTCTGCGGGCCGCTCCGGGCTCCGCGGGCCGCTCCCTTCCCGAGGCTGCAGGCGGCGCTGGGGCCCGGGCTCGGCCGCTCACAGGAAGCCCGCGCCTGCGAACGTGCGACCCTTTTATAACTCACTGTGACTCATAACCGACCAGGCGCCTTTCTGCATACCCCCCGCTTCTCCCCCCTCCTGCCTGTTCTTGGAACCTACAGCTTGAAAACTTTTTTCTTTTTAAAGGAAAAGTCGAAAAAGCCCAGCGCCCGGGGAATTGGTGTTTTCCCCTTTCCCTTTCTCGGGTGTCATTGCGTGTGTGTATTTTTTTTTCTCTCGACACGCGCCGTGTACTTTCCTGCGCCCAGCGCTGCAAGGCTTAGGCTCCAACCTTTGTTCTTAAAGAAAAGGAAATGCCTTCAAATGACGGCCCAGACGTCGCCCGAACTCAGTCGGCCTGATGGGGAAGTGGCGACTTCTTGCAACTGGGTGGCAGGGGTATCTCTACTCTCTCCTTGCAGGGAGCCCAAGAGGAGTGAGTGGGAGGTTTTTCCTCCTCAACCGAGTCAGCTGGAGCCAAGCAGGTCCCTAAGAGAGGAAGAAATCCTCTTCAGGCGATCCTGTATCTCATCCCTACCTCAACACCCTTCAAGAGCCCGCGTTTGGTTTGGAATATGTAACTGGGCTTTGAGAACCTTTGTACTGTGTCTGGTACCCGCATTCGGGATAGGACTTGAAACTTTAAAAATTTTGACCTCACCAACATTCTCCCCCTGACCTCCACTACCATCCCCAGGACCTATTCCTGGAGCATATGGGACTCAGGTCATTTTAATTTTTGGTTTCATCGCCACTCTCTTTTTCCTTCACCCTGCCACAAAGGGGACATTTTCCTGGAGCAACCATTTGATTTTTGGGGATGGAAAAGAACAGATAGATCCTGCAAGCCTAGCCAAGTAACTCATTCATGAGTCTCAGTTCAATAAACGTTTAGACCTTGAAGAAGAAGAAGGAAATATGAGGAAGAGAAGGAGAACAGGAATAGACCTAGCCTCATCGTCATGTGACTGGGGCCTTTTTGTAAGAAAGACAGGGCCACTGCTGGCTTGCATTGCAAGTATCCAGTACTTGGGCCCTCCCTGTCAAGGGTGTAAGACATTTTAAAATAGTTTGTATTAAGCTGATATCAGTCAGTTTCTAGGACCCCTGAATCCATGTCAGAGCTGGAAATCCCATAGTACTTAATTTACAGATGGCTCAGGTTGGTTAAGGAACTTGGGAGCATTTTAAAACCCTCTTTTCTTAAGATATATGTTTTTCCCCTATATTCAAACAACAATAATCATGATGATAACCACTAACACTTATAATGCATTTAACATGTTCTAGGTCCTGTGCTAACACTTCTTACATGCATTAACTCTTCCAGTTTTCATTACGATCATATGAGGACGGAGCATTATAATCTCTATTTCCAGATGAGGAAACTGAGCACAGAGAGATTAAACTTGTTAACTTAGGTCCTAGTAAGTAGCCAAGCTGAGATTTAAACTCAGTTCTGAGCCTGGAGGGCTGGCGCCATAGTCCAGTCTCCCTGCTTTCCAGATCCATGTGACATTGAGGAGCTGGGGAAGCTGTACAGGGGGGCATGTGGCAAGGATGCATGGTCCCCACCCAGGTGGGCCATGTCTCTCTGCTGGTTATAGATGCCTACAAGGCCTTCTGAATTTCCCATTTCTCATTATAGTTTGAACTATATGAAATTTCCCATAGGCAATTCTAGGATGACCTTTTATCCCTAGAATGGCAAGTTTGTATAATTCAGTTTAATAGAAGCAGGACATTTCTCAATCTTCCCTTCTCCCAGTGATGGAAGTAATTTCAGGCCATGTGCAAACCTCCCCATTTTAGGTCCCAGTTTGAGATACCCAGAATAGTGGATGGAGAAAGGGGTTTTAGAAGTCAAATCCACCTGAATTTTACACTAATTCTAGCTGTGGAATCTGAAGGTTAACCTTTCTATGTCTCAGCTCCCTATAAATGACAATAATAATGTCTCCCATTAGGGATTGCTATGAATTGAATCATATTCTCCTCAACTTCATATGTTGAAGCCCTAACCCCCAGTGTTATCCCCATTTGGAAATAGAGCCTGTGGGGAGGTAATAAAGGATAAATGAGGTCATCAGGGTGGATCCCAAATCTCATAGAGCTAGTGTCCTTATGAGAAGAGGAAGAGGCACCAGAATTCCCTTTCTGTCAGAGATCAGACAAAGCAGTGGTCATGTGAGTATGCAATGGGATGGTTTCCTATAAGCTAGGAAGAGAGTCCTCACCAGAAACCAAACCCTGCAGGGCATTGATCTGGAACTTTCTAGCCTCCAGAACTGTGAGAAAATAAATTGTTGTTGTTTCAGCCACCCAGTGTGTGGTATTTTCTTATGGCAACCCTAGCTGACTAAGAGGGATATATATGATGATTAAATAAGGTGATGGATAAAAAGTACCTGGTCAAAATGGATAGCTTGAGAAAGTAAGAGCTGGCCACCTGCCAGGACAAATATTATCCCATGGATGTTGTTGTGGGCTGAATCGTGTTCCCCTCCCGCCACCTCCCAAATTCGTATATTGATGTCCTAACAGCCAGTACTTCAGACAAGATTGGGTGCCTGCAGAGTGCTATGGCCGTAGACCACCCAGTACTTCAGAATATAACCTTATTTGGAAACAGGGCCTTTGTGGATGTAATTAGTCAAGATGAGGTCCTATTAAAATAGGGTGGGCTCCTAATCCAATATGACTGGTGTCCTTAGAAAAAGAACATGATGCGTAGAGAAAGAAACATGTATGGAAGGAAGAGAGTGTGAAGAAACATTGGGATAAGATGGCCATCTATGAGCCAAGGATAAGGGCTTGGAACAGATCCTGTCTCCACAGCTCTCAGACGGAACCAGTCCTGCTAACATTTTGATCTTGGACTTCCAGCTCACAGAGCTATAAGGCAATACATTTTTGTGGTTTAAACCATCTAGTTTGTGGTATTCGGTCACAGCAGCCCTCACAAAGTGATACAGGTGTATCTCCAGGGCTGATGGGGCTGGTGTTCTCACCCCTCCCTTTACCCTTCGGAAACCGAGCAGCTATCATCAGTGACCTTCCAGATGAGAGTGGTACTTCTTGATATTACTTAATATTGATAATGAGGAATGGATTGTGACAGCTGGCACACTACAGATCAGAGTCTTGCTAAAAACATCATAGGTTCATGAAATTCTACAGAAACCACAATCATCACAGGAAATGGTTAGGAACCAGCCTCCAATCTCTCTCTCCTTAAAAGAAAAAATAAGTGGCAGAAAAAAATAAAAATAGTTTCTGGAGATTTAGTACTCAATGATCTTGAAGCTCAACCCTTTGGAAGAATGTAAGAGAGAGAGACATTTCTCAGAGTGGATAACACTTTTTAGATAGTGGGTGAAGAAACAGACTCACATTTTAGGCTTGACCAGCTTATTTATTGTGGCACAGGGTTTCCGTTCACTGTTTACCCTGTTGTACAATAACATGGAGATAATTAATTATTCTGTGAACTTGTGGTTGCTCTTCATCCCTTGGGATGAAGCGGGTTGAATTGGCTTCCTCTGTACTCCATCAGTGGTACAACCATAATTAATGCCTGAGGCTAAAAAATGTAGCCATAAGATAGTCACACTTCATAGAGAGTGTTTGTTTTTATTTTTCGCAAACAAAACATGAGAGAGTTTTTTCCCATTATAATTTAATTTTTATTTCTTTCACTGTTTATAACATTTGGAAGCCCAATTCTGGTCTGTGTTGTTTTCACCCACATTTCCTCTGTAAACGGGTTGCTGCTTTGGAGTGTTGTGTGATACTCTTAAGGATGCCTTTCCCGTCAGAGGGTAGAGGAGTAGCTTTTTTTTTTTTTCTCTCTCCATCAAATAGATGAAATTTACAAATTAGAGAGAATTAACTTTTTAACCTTATTTTTCCCATTCACGCCTCCACAGTGAACAGTGGAATAAAGTCAAACCTCTGCAAAGGAGACTAGTGTTTTCTGCAGTGAGTTACAGGCTATGTTTAGCTGCACTCTAATTGTTTAATCATTTGTACCCATCAAATGCCTTTTAAGAATTCTTCTGTCTATACATACACTGCCTTCCGTAGATAACTTTTTTCATAAATGTAATATTTAAAGTTTTTTGGTAATTCACATTTTTTGCTCTTGGCTCATTTCTTCATTTGTACATTTTGGGAAGCCAGGTTGTCACAGTCTTTTGGAAATTTTCATATAATAGAGGAAAAGTTAGGTTCTCGGGAAAAGACCAAGATTCTCAAAACATTTTGGTTCATGAACAACCTTGGCAGGGAACCATTCTGCTTCCATATAGAAGTCATCATCATCAAATCACATATAGAGAAAATTGCTCCACCTGCCCCCCTATAACACCCAATTCCCTCAGTATCTGACCTCAGTCATATTCTTTTTTGTTTGTTTTTGTGACGGAGTTTTATTCTTGTTACCCAGGCTGGGCTGCAGTGGCACAATCTTGGCTCATTGCAATCTCCATTTCCTGGGTTCAAGCGATTCTCCTGCCTCCTGAGTAGCAACCTTATCTATATTCTTATCTCAACTGGCCTAGCTCAGTGTTTTAAGCTTCAGTTTGTGAATTGATGAGTCACTTGTAGTAAATTACTCTATAATGTCTTTTTTCCCCCCTCCTTCCTCTCTGAAATAACTGGGGAGACTTCTCTGAGCACCAACAATGTCTGTTGTTATTTTTTTCAACTTTAATTTTATATTCAGGGAGTACATGTGCAGGTTGTTTATAAGGGTATATTGTGTCATGCCGAAGTTTGGGGTATGATTAAACCCATCACCCAGGTAGTGAGCATAGTACCCAATAAGCAATTTTTTATCCCTTGTCCCGCACGCACCTTCCCTCCCCATCTTACAGTCCCCATTGTCTATTGTTCCCATTGTTATTTCCATGTGTACCCAATTTATTTTTTTTGAGACAAAGTCTTGCTCTGTTGTGCAGACTGAGGTGCTCACTGCAACCTCTGCCTCCCAGGCTCAAGTGATTCTCCTGCCTCAGCCTCCTGAGTAGCTGGGACTACAGCTGTGCACCACCAGGCCAGCCTAATTTTTGTTTTTTAAATACAGAAAGGGTTTCTCCATGTTGGCCAGTCTGGTCTTGAACTCCTGGCCTCAAGTGACCCAACTTCCTCAGCTTCTCAAGGTGCTAGAATTACAGGAATAAGCCACCATGCCCAACCATGTGTATTTAATGTTTAGTTCTCACTTATAAGTGAGAACATGTAGTATCTGATTTTCTGTTTCTGCATTAATTTGCTTAAGATAATGGCCTCCAGCTGCCTCCATGGTGTGCAAAGGATCTGATTTTTTTTAATGGCTGCATAGTATTCCATGGTGTGTATATATCATATTTTCTTTATCCAATCCACCACTGATAGGCCTCTGGATTGATTTCTTGTCTCTGCTGTTGTGAATAGTGCTGCAGTGAACATACAAGTGCATATGCCTTTTTGGTAGAACAATTTACAGTACTTTCCTTTGGGTCTATACTCAGAATGGGATTGCTGGGTTGAATGGTAGTTCTATTTTTAGTTCTTTAAGAGATGTACAAACTGCTTTCTACGGTGGCTAAACTAATTTACAGTCCCATAAACAGTGTAGAGTCATTCCCTTTTTTTCTGCAGCCTGACCGACATCTATTATTTTTGGACTTTGAGGAATAGATTGTGACAACTTGCACAGCTACAGATCAATGACAAAGTCTTGCTAAAAGCATGATAGTTTCATGAAATTCTACAGAAATCACAATAAGCACAGGGAATGATTAGGAACCAGCCTCCAATCTCTCTCCTTAAAAAAAAAAAAAAGTGGCAGAAAAAAATAAAACCAGTTTC